TATGCTGCTGTGCGCCGTCCGTGGGGAACGTCCTAGAATTCTTTCTAGAGGTAAGTTGACTCATCATATTGATTTTGACATCAGTTTCTGCGGCCGACTATCTGCCTGACGCCAACCTGTCTTTCCGAACTGGGCTGGGAAACTTCTATTGCTGGTCAGGGTCAGCAGCATGCCTATTTCATTGCGGCATATACTCGCCATTTCACCGAGCTGTCATCGGGTCTTGCGCTATTTTCTAAAGCAAACCTTGCTATAAGTGGGCTAATCGCACCTTGACGTTGTCCGCGACTGCTTAGGTATTGAATTCTCCGTTTATTTCAGCTAATCCTTATATGTGCGGTTTGTCCCAAAATCCACAAGCTGTGGACGCCAATATATATTCTATCAAAAGGCTGACTGACTTAAGACTTGAGTCACAGATCATCTCGTGTCCATCGTACGAATAGCTAAGACCAATTAGACTGTCGTTTTGATTTCACTGTTTGCAATTTCCGACAGAGTAAAGTGATACAAATTAACGGAGGTTACTGTTATCCTACAAAGTTAAAAGAACAATCGCCCAGTGAATGAACAGGTGCTTTCACTGTTAACGGCACACTGCTGTCCGAACCGCATGATGCATCAACGTATCTTCTCTATGTGCCTGTGGCTTTGAATCAAAAACAACCTGAAGCCACTCTGGTCATGCACAGTATATTACGTTTTGACTAGTAATCCAACATATGAGAGAACAACGACACTTTCCATGTAGGAGAGATAGAAAAACTACGGATATGTTTCGCATCATTTGCCCAGATTTACACGTGAACGCTGCAGTGCAAGGATGCAAAACAGCGCCATTTTGCTGGTTCGAACACCAACGGATATATCTTGATCCGCAAGCATATATGATTAAAGTTATACCGTCCGTAACAAGTTAGCCAGTAAACCTAAAACTATTCAGGTTGATTATTGTACGGATTTTTATTCCTACGGATACAGGTATATGCGTTGGTGTTCAGAAATGTTTTTTGTTCGACGCAAAAAAGTGATGCATATTTATGCC